GAAGGAAAAGGAAATGGAAAGACTCGAGCCACAGCCCCGGGAATTCAGGCTCCGGGAGAGGAGTGAACTATTTGACCAAAAACCTTGCTCCGAGTCAGTCACCGGCAATTGCTTAGAACTCTCCAGGGAAATTCGCTTGCCCTCCGACGTTCGGTCCAATGCTCTAACAAGGGAAGCCCCTTCGGGGCGAAGACAGCGGTCGACTAATGACTTCAGCTCACGGAACAACAAGAAAACTTCTCTTTTTTCTTCTTATGTGGGGGCTCGCAAGCCGGTTACGGTGACAATGACCGACCGGAGCCAAGCTCTGAGAGGGCGAGAAACGAGGCCATCAACGCAGAGGAATAGACAAAAAGTTGTTTCCCGCCAGCGAGCCCGATGTGCACACAGGGATGGGTGCGCTTAGTGCTGTGGATGAGCTCAGTAGTTGTGACGACGTCATGATAGCGCGACCGTACTCGTCGCAGACAAACGAAAAGTCCACGGTTGGGCTTCTTCTACGAAAAAGCTAGTGGTTGTCTGTCACTCGCGCGCGAGTCGTCGTAGTGGAAGCAATGGCTTTGGCAGAAGCGGTCGGCGACATTCCAATTGAATCCGGCCGAATAGGGGGTTATCCTCGCTCTGCAACCGCAGTTGCCGTCCCATGAGAGCAAGAGTGGACCGTAAAGAACGCATAGGAGGGACTCGTCTGACCGTAAGCGAGGGAGCTGATTCTTGCCCGGCAGCGAGCAGAGACAGGCAGACAGGATGGGGAAATTGGGTGAGCTAAGCCAAACGACTGACTGAGTGATCAAGCTCGGCATCAGATTCTCCGCTCTTGGAACCTCCTGAGATTTGGCTTCAGCCACCGGGGCCAGCGGGCCGCGGGCCTGCAAGCCGACAGGCACGCAGCCGTCTCTCGAGTCGTTGCCGCGACCGAGCAACTGAGTTGCTGTCGCCACGATGTCTAAATGAAGAGCCTCGCGACTCGTTTGGTGGTTCTCAAATCGCTCCGTTGGCCGTCATTAGAGAACGATGCTGCCAGCTGTGCAGGTGAAAGTCGGCGCAGCGTTTCCTGTGGCAACTGCTCCCCGACCAGCGCTAATGATCGCGTTCATGGCTTTCGCGGGATTCGCGAGGGCTACAAGTTCCTGACTTCGGTATCTGAGCTGGCAAGGCCCGAAATGGAATTACGCTCGGCGACATACTCTGATGAATTTCGATTCTCAAAGCATCGGCCGAGGAGGCAGGTCGGAGTGAATGTCCGAATATTCGATCATGTTTGTCACATCTGACGCCGGGAGAAGGAAATTAATGCGGTCGCATCTACCGCTTATTTTCCGTTGAGGATTGGCTGCGTCCACCTTTGATGAGGTCGATCTCGCTTGGACTCCGTTTAGGAAGGCGTCAGATCTTGAGGTACCATGTAGGGCTAGATGCTTCGAACTCCACATTAGAGCGCCTCATGCACCTTCTGTCTTTCTGTTCCCGTCCTGCTGGGTACGTGTTTTGCGGTATGTCCCGAAAGATTCGACCGAAGCGTTGCTTTGCCTCCGCTCTCTCCTTAAACCTCTGTTGGGAGAAGCATCATCTCCGGGAATGCTATCGGAGCTGCTCTTTCCGATTTCCCACCTCATGTTATCATGCTAGGTTGCCCTTGCAGACAAATAGCGAATCTTATCGGAGGCTTCAGAATGAATATATATTTTCTCGCGGGAAGTCCATCGGTGGAAGGGATCCTAGAGCAGCGATATTCAGTTCAGATATCGCGGGTCGTCGCAGATGGAAGGGTTTCCCGGTCTTTCATCCCTGGGGAATCGCGCATTATGCTCCAGTAGCTTATAGTGTAAAGTCTTAACATTGTCGAGCTTACTTGAGGAATTTTCCGAGGGGTACTCTTGGATGGGTATCTCGAAGAAGAATCTGCGGTCGATCGGGGAACCCCTCAGCGGCCAGGGGTCACGCGGGAAGAAAGGTAGGTGGTGAATTCACACGCTGTTTCCGGCACGGCGCACAGTGGTCAAAAATCGACTTCTAGGTGGACAAAATTATTCGGTCGTTTTTCGCCCATATCTCAAACTTGAATGGTTCAGACTACCCGATACGATGAAAATTAGGGACGGATGACCCCCGACAAGGACGCACCGACCCGAAGAGTTGCGATTTGTATCGATACGACCGAGGGAAAATTCTTTCGTGGCCGACAATAGGCGAAAACCTAAATTGCTCATTTAGGACCTTTGCCCCGGCTTGCCCCAGGAAATTTTTTTTTTTTAAAGCTCCTCAAGCCTTCCGCTTTTTAAAGCACATCTCCGATCTCTGCGCATTTATGCGCTAAGGGCTTTAAAAAAAAAGTCAAAGTTTCGCTGATTTTAGGTCTTCATCGGAGACATCGAATTATAGCCGGGCATGCTTCAGACGAGATGGCCTGGGCTGTCTTAGAATATTTTTTCCTCTCTATTACTGCTCGTGGGTGACCATAGGCGGAGATACCGGGATGCAGAATTCGCTACAGGCTTTGATCCGCTTCGATTGTGGAGAGAGATTCCCTCTTTTACAATAGCATGGATATGGATCCCGATCGGTGATCGCGATTCGGGGGCGAAGCGAGTCATCTCGGCGATCCGACATCCAACAGCTCGTTTCCAGTATTACCGCCGAAAAGCGATCTCTTGAGCGCCAGCAGACGATGTTCCGAGTCTGACTTACGGGCAAGCTGGCGCGGTCTCCACTTCTGTAGGAAGTTGGAAGTCAAGCAGGAAACCACGTGCAGCGGGATCGCTCTTCGTTGTGCGCTCTCGGGCTGAGCTTCACTGTGCATCGAGACTTTGCGGAGGACGACAATAGACGGCGATGGAGGTGATCAAGACTATTACCGTAACCCGGAGAGAATTTGTGGAAAAATGCTTCGAAGCCGGAAAACGAATGAGACCGGATGGCATGATCATTCAAGTCGTGGAGCATTCGTCTCTCTCAAATCTGCATGCATGAAGTTGGTGGGATATTTCAATGAACAACGTCCTCAAGACCTCAAATATCGTCTCCGCGGGCGAGCTGGAGGCCGGAAACCCTTTCCGAGTATCACGCCTCATTCGGGAACGGAACTCTATCGAAAAAAACATCGAAAAAATTTTGTCCACCTAGGAATTGTTTTTTGACCACTGTGCGGCGGAATGAGCTCTCTAATGAGCGGGAATTGTCCTCCGTGGTAGGCGGAGACCCTAGGGAGTGGGGAGTTTAACTCGTATCGCATTATTTTTCTCCCCCCCTGAAACGCATCGTCACCACGGAGTACACAGCGGAAACTCCGGCGACCCAGCGTCCGAGAACGGTTCCGCGTTATTCGCAATATTCGTCCCTCGCTCCTGAGAACTCTCTCTTGGTGAGCTTCGCACAGCTTCCTTACACATACCCCCGAGAGCCTTCAGGTCTCTGCTGTCGTTCTGTGTGCCATTCCTCGGGGACCACTTCATTCACTTCGAGTGATCTTCAGAAAAAGCTCTAGAGGAGAAATGGGATTTACCCAACTTGAAGGAGGCTGCTCGCAGGGATGTCTGCTTTGTCATTCAAAACTAATATATCGAAGCTGAGTCCGCATTCGAGGGCACAGATCTCGGCTCTGACACGGCGTCTCGGACGATGGGAATAATTCCCCACAGCTGCAAGTGAGGCGAGCTATGTCGTCCCGCCAGGTTTGTTGGATGGAATCCGATGTTGTGACAGATGTCTCAATCACCGACGGAATTCCGGGGCATCGACTTCATCCGCGCCAGGAGCGGTGAATAAATCGCGATTTGCTGGAAGATTGGGGAGAGAGCCTCTTCCCGCTGCCCTTGTTTGATCCAATTCACACCGAAACAGGATCCGACCTCGATTTCGCAAGGGTTCCTCTGGGTTTCGCAATGCAGAGTAGAATCCAATATCACGATGAGATCGCGAGCTCCTACGCTGCGTTGCTACGGGTCCACGACCATCAGCGAGGAGCTGGCCGCTCGGCAGAACTTGAAACCTGTAATAAGGATCCGTATAATTTGCGAGGCGCATTAGCCACGCCGACATTTTTAGAGGGTCGGTCCGCACATCCGCCTGTTCTCCCGAGGATACTCCGAAAGATAATACGTGCGCACACGCTCTGTCTTCGAATTCGTGGAGGGCAGCGATACGTTGTTGAAATGACCTTTGGATTCAAATTCTTCTACCATGACTTCCGAAGTAGAACGCTTCTCGTGCTTGAGGACGCCTCTACCAGGAGAGGGATCCGCGTCGAGCGAGAGCGGCTTCGTCTCTTCGATAAAGATGGCGGGAGCGACAGGTGTGACCTGTTGCCTAAGCTTTTTCCTTCCTGTCCGTTTGGGACGCGGTGTCACCTCTAGGCGATCTCATATCCGTATAGGGAAACGATATGTCTAGTCTTTTGTGTTCGTCTCCCGGGCGCATCGAGCAGAACCACCCGTCTGTCGGCCGAACGCAATATTGGAACAATGACGTTTCAATCCTTCCTTCACAATAGAGCTCGACCGTCATAGTTCACGAAATCCCATGAGCACGAAGAAAAAAAACATTTTCCCCTCCGACCCCGAGAGAGGTTCAGTGTGTAGAAATTCGAAGGGAGTTCCACTCGAGAGACGAGCCAGAAAATTCAAAGCTTACGAAGCGGATGGGATGAGTTCCATCTCACGGCCTGCTAACTTCCAAGCCATTTTAATCCCCGACAGGATATGAGGGGTTTCTGAGAAAACTTTCTCTCGACGTTATGCGCTGATGACATGCGCGAGATTAGGTTCCGCACGTCCGGAGGAGCGCCAGCCGCAGCTCCGTTCCTTCTCTTGCCCGTTGGCCTGTTGATCAGCCCTCTCCCGAGACTCTCCCCGAAGCCATACAAACTGTCTGAACTCGTATCTACAAGAGCTCCGGACCGCTTCTATTTTTCCCGAGAACACTTCGACAGACAACCTGAAACCCGCCTCGCAAGAGCTCTGTTGAAGCTGTATTCACATCTCTCAATCGTGTCGAATCCGCAGGGAGGGGATTCGCAGAAACAAGGAACGGATGAAGCGACTCAAGAGTGCGCCGAGGTATCTATTGCTTCAGGGATAATGTTCTCCCCAGGAATAGGCTGAGGGGAGCTCACCGTTTCTCCGTGGCTCGTCGACTCTTGAACCTGCATCGTTCGGAGGCTCCTGGTTCGGTTCCCATCCTTTCGACTGCCCCATAGCCGCGGAGCTGACGCACATCCAACGAGAAGATGGAGCACCAAGACGAGGATGGGGAAGAAGCGGGCCGAGGAGAAAAGCTATATTTGGAGGAAAACGTACACGAATGGTGCTCTGGAACGGCCGACCGGCTCGTCAGTCGGTCAGTCAGCCGGTCGGTGAGTCTACCTGCCTGTTTGTCTGTCGGCCAGACGGAACGCCTCTCCTACGTTGCGCGGGTTAGTCCGGCGGGCCGGGAGTCCGTCGGGGCGTCCGGGGAGCGGCCAAGCGGCGGGCTTTAGCTTTTCCTTTGTGATATAAATGGGAAGCTTCCCGTTTCGGTGAAATATAGCGACTGCTTTGTTCGACTCACCGTCGAGGCTAAGCGCAGGAGCTGTGGCGGGGGCCGCGCTTTCGGGAACGGCGTTGACGGCCTCTCTCGGACCGTCTTCCGATCCGCTCCTCTCAACGCAGTGTGTTCCCACTAACGCTTGAAGCTATCCTGTCCATGTTTGTGTTCGTGGAGGAAGGGCCCAGCCGATCGATCCTTCAGGGAGCGTCTGATTGTTCGTTCGAGAATCTCATCGTGACCTGGCTTTTCCTCCCTAGGGGACCTCCGAGCTTATCGAGCTGCCTATCGACCTTTTGATTCCCATCCTTCATCTTGAGCGACTCTCCGACACAACTCTATAACGGGCCCATATCGACCGGGAGGTAGTGGGAATAAGTCGGGAGTGGAGCGGGAAAACGAATGCTGCTTCCAGTTCCTCGATGCCCAGCATTCAGCTCCCTTGCCTGTTACTCGTCAACTGCTGGACGACAAACGTCCAAATACATTTTCAGTTCATCGGAATCTCAAAAATGAAATTCGGGAATGAGTCGCCCGACTTGCGATCGGCTGGTCCCGAAGCCGTCGAGATCGTCGAGAACTCCGGAGGAGAAATTTACTGAGTGAGGATTCCTCTGAACCGGTCGGCCCTTTTTTAGAAAATTTAATTTCGTCTTCCTTGGCGAGCTTCTCGGTTTCATCACGCGCCCACAAAGCTTCTTGCTAAACATGGTGTGTTCTGGACAGAAGCCAGAAAAATCATCTTCCTCATAATCGTCTCTACTCGGCTCTGTGTGGAGAACCGCTTCGTACGGCTCGTTAGGCTCTGCTGAGGCTTTCGACAGCACTCCGATCATCTACTGTGCAAACTTCAGCGTATACGCTCACGTATGATGTACGATGGTGGGCATAGAACTTCAAAAGGGACGTCCTCTCATAAGAATGTGACTCGATCCAGTAGCATGCGACTCAGATATTGCGTGACGGAATCACCTTCGTTCCGTAGATGGAAGGCGACCTTCTTCCGATCTATCCGAAATTTGATCAGAGCTTGGAATCCGGTGAGAGCGCGATCAGATATCCTCTCCACGCTTATCGAGAAAAAAAACTCCCGGGCAACCTTAGACTTTCAGCGCTCGCTACCGCGAGAAGAATGATCTCGGCTCGATTGAAGGATTGGACGTTAAATTGCAGAAAGCTGCACGGGGCACCCTACATTCCTCTTCGCCACCTGCATCACTTCATCCACGATGCCGACGTTGAGGGCAAAAGCTGATCAGATCTGAAATATTGGCAGCTGTCGGTGCAACATGCCTCCCCAAGCTCCCTTGCCGCAAAGTCAGGAGAGAGAGGGCGAACGTCGAGGAGTAATCTTCCGTTCAGGGACGATGTCTGGGTCGACGGGCCTCCGTGTTCGTTCGGACGCCGGCGGGGAGCGAGACATCTCGTCTGTCCAGACACACGGGGGAGCCGAGACCCAGACACACTCGCAGGGATCCGACTGGATGAGAGGAGAAGCAACTCAATCCTTATCGCGGAACGTCTGTTGGATACTATGCAGACGGAGGGAACACAGTCGTTCAAGCACGCGAAAACTTGCTCGTTCCCGTGTCGGTTGATCGCCCTCGTGTGTCGGTCGTCGTTCTGATACCGCGAAGAACAAAATTCGATTTTTAGACTCGGTGCGTCTGGAAAACTTCAAGCGCGGTCCCGATGCGGAATCGGAAACAACGAGATCCTCCGACGGATCCCGTCGGGGAGTTACTAAATGACAAACGACGGGCATAGTCTCTCATTCCTCCGATGTCAAAAACGGCGAGCGGAGCAGGCAACGGTCTTGGCAAGCAGTCGAGGAGGGGCTCGCTCCGACGGGAGGCGTCCGTCGTACTCGCATGTTTTTGAGCATCCGATGATTCTGGCTTCAAACCATCGTTTTATGCATGCTTGTGTGCGCACCTCGGCTTTGTCACTTCCGAAAACTGTGACCTCCTCGGAAAAATTCTCTGTTTACACGCGAGGCCCTCCGAGCCTCGGCTGACACGGAAAGCCGACGACTCCGTTCGATACGAGGACGATCGGCATCAGGACTCGAATCGGAGTCGGTATAAAACTTCTGATTTGAGACTCCGGAATTTTTTGTTGCCCCACATGCCCGCAGAATATTTGGACGGAAATCGCAGACGCATTTAGGGCGCCCAAGTTCGATGGAACCCGGAGAAATCTTCAATTTCGATCTTTTTTATAGCTCCAGAGTTTCGAATCCAAGACGACGGGGCTTAGGCGGTCGACCATTGATCTAAATTTATGACTGGAGGACGTGAGGTGCCTGTTCACGTCCAGCGGCCGAGCACAGGCGGTGACCGATGCGTGGCTACGACTGTCGCAAAACCCGCGACCAAGCGACGGCCTTCGGAGTTCCCGATGGTCGACGAGAGCCAACATATGATATTTCCCGCTATTCCCTGCGATGACAAGGATCGGTGATCGCGATCGCGGCACAGGACGCCGACCTTCCCATGGACACAGATCCGCGTAAACACGATCCTATTCCGCCCTAGAGCGCATTTGAATGTAATGCGGCCGCGTTCCTCCTCCTGCTGCTGCTGCTGCTGCAGCCGCCGCCGCCGCCGCTATTCGGTTTTATGGCTTTACTGGCTGACTCATTCGTGGGCTGCCGACGGGTCTGCGTTTCGAGCTCGCTATCGCTATCTGCTTGGATGGCTGAATAAATGAAGGAATCCACATTTCTCATCTGCTGACGTCCCCGCCAACACCCTGTCGTCCTCGTCGACTGCGTCCGACTTCGGTCGCGATGGAAAGCGCCGACGGCCGAGCGGGCGATTCGCTATGCATATACGGACTGTCTCAGAATCGCTGTTGACGACATTAGCGAGACGCATTCGGGAATTCTCCCTTCGGCATCCACTGCTTACCCAATCACTTCCGGCAATCGAGAGTGGGAAATGTTTATTTGTTGGTGCTCTTATTTCCTGATGCTCCGTTCCTAGCTCTCGTCGTCATCTCGAGGCGAAAGGAACGCTCACAACTCCGGATAGCTACAATTTATAGCTTCAGTCAAAGCTTGAATTGGACGGGGGCTGATTCGAACGTTCATCCGACGTGACGTGAATGTGAGGCGGCGAGTCTTCCATGCTAATGAAGCTGTGGCACTTGCGCCAGGCGAAGACATTTACAGGCGACTCTGGTACCTCTATTTACCCGCTTTTGATACACCTCTGTTGATCAAACCTGAACTCAAACGACCGGGACCGGCGTTGCTCGTCTTCGTTCATATGGATACGACCAATCGGAGCCCTATACCGGAGGGATCGGCGCGTTAACCCCTCGGAGATCTGAAATCTCTTCTCGTCCTCCATAGGCAGTCCCTGGCTCGTCGTTGTATCTCCGACCCTCTGACTCGAAAACTATAATGCGAAAACTCGCCCCATCCTGGCGGACTGAAGCTCTTGGCTTTGGACATTGAAAATTCGTGGTCGAAATTAAGCCGCTCGTCGATTATTTCGGGAAAGTTCTCATTTAAAGTCACCGATCGTCTCTCCGCGCGGGGACTCGTGTTGAACGACCGCGGCGTGCGGCTGCCGCGGTTCCGCTTCACTAGCTCAGCTTGTTCCAAAATACGCGTATCGAAGCGCGAGGATCGTTCCGTAGCTAACAAGCGTCGCTACTTCGGGGGAAGAATGTTGAATGACTTTCTCGCAGCCCGAAACTTCTCTTTCAGAAATACACGGCTCCCAGCCCGGCGCCTTTGTTCCCTCGTTGTTCGAGCACACGCCGGACCAGCGATGCGTATAGTGTCTCAGCGTTCCTGTAGGTACCGGCGTGTTTCGCGTTCGAGCCTCCCGAGCACCTGTGCTCCGAGCGAACGGCAACATCCGAATTTCATTTTTCAATACAATTCCGTCCTGCGTGGCGAAGCGGCTCCGGCGGGGATGGCTCTCCCATCGTGCGACGGACGGGGTAAGGTCTGGTGCTCGGTGAAGCGGAGCTCCCACGTATCGCCGGAACTCGAGGTGAAGACGAGCCAGCTGCATCTTATGACGCGTTTCCCGGAGGACTATAAAGACGCCCTGACTGCGTCGTCCTCGACTCCGATGATCGCTGTTGGGAACAGAGTCGCGTGACCGAGTCGGGAACGCTGTTCGGCTCTCCTCGATTTTGAGTGTGGCGCGTCGGAATCCGCTTCCCAATTTTTAATCCCTCCGAAGGGACTTTTGGCTGATGACGCGAAATCGGAGACTCCGGCGAAGTAGCTGATGTTTTCGGCAGCCCGTATCGCGGAGCTCGCTCACATGAAATCGGCTCGGTAGGTCTCGGGATGTGCCTCGAATAAATATTAACACTAAGCAGGATGTTGATTCAGGCGAAGCGGTTTATTTTTCTTCTTGCCGTTGGGAGCCGACAGCTAGTGCAACTCCGCTGGCTCGAGAAGCAATCCGACCGGTGTTGTTGTTGGTGACGTGTGACGTTTCTCTCAGGGGACGAACTGACGACGACGGAGAAGAATTTCTCCTAGATGCCCCCGCAAGATCGGGTATCGTTGTTATAGCGAGGCTCTCTCTGTTGCCATTCGGATATCTTGCGGGGCCCAGGTCCTTCGCTCTTCCCAATCTCCTGTTTCGGCTCTTCCTCAATCGGGCTCGCGGAAATTCTTCGAATTTTCTGATGGTCTGGCTGCGAATGTCTGATGGTCTGGCTGCGAACACGACTTCAATCTGCACGGGGATCTCTGTCGGCAGAGGTGGAATACGCGACTCATGTCAGATTCCTCCTCTCTTGCGCGAGAGGGACATCTTCAGGGAGTATATCGGAACGTCTTCCATTCCCGAGCAGGACGTATCCCGATCGCATTTCGGAGCGTCCGCTGATATTCTCACCGTGAATCGAGACTGTATTTGGGTATCATTCCCGGAGCGTATTTCTCATCCCGGACTTCGATGAGTCGAACAATCTCGCAAAGACCTATGTATGATAACTTCCGTGTATTTGGCAGTAGGTGTTATCTCACGAAAAGACACTGTGTAGATATTCCTACCTGTATCGACTCAAGTACAATGTATTTGGGTAATTATCAGGCGTGAAAGGCATCGAAAAGAGCATCCGGAAGAGGAATCGGAACACCATTCGGCTGATTGGGATACTGATCTGATGACGTTATTCGGGAGAGATTACTTCTGAGTCACGTTGAGACTGAGAGTTCAGCGGTCCGAAGTTCCCGAGCCGCTGTTCCCAGGTCTGACAAGCGAATGAAGTTCTCCCCGCTTCTTATAGAGCTTCCCTCAAATCTAGAGCTTCCCCTTGGGAGAGCCAGCATAGACCTAATCGACACGGTTCGGGCTCATCGAACTTCGTCTGGTGGATCCTGAACGTTTTGTCTGTTCTCCAAGCAAAAATGGGCGGCCGATGTGATTTGTACCGCGGTGTTTTTTTCTGTCCGATCGTTGGCGCAAGGGCTCCATTCGCCCCGAAGGGGAAGAGGATTTGGAGTGACGATTTTCGAGAAGGTTCGACTTCGGCTATGCTTGGGACGAGCCTCTGCAGAGAGTCAAGCGTAATGAGGCGTGGACGTCCCATCTCTGCTGAGTATATCCAGCGAAGGCAAGCA